TGCCACCATCCTGCTTCAGCTTCAGTTCTCCAAACAAGCACACAAATGAACAAAAAGCACTTCAGAAATATTGCAATTCCAAGGAACTTTCTTTCATTGAGGGGTTGAACTAGTTTGGCCAACGGGCAGGTACAGAACTAGGGCATCCTCATTGTCAGTGTGCTGTGAGTTCTAATTTAAACTTTCTAACATCTATTTCACTATACTGTGTATATATTATTATGTTTTAATGATTCCTTGTGAAAACTATCTGCTATTCAATAGTGGATTTTCAGAAAGTTCAGGGAAAACTTGAATGTTTGATAGTTAAGAATGGTCAGGCACAGTCCATTTCTTTCCAGGGTTTCTGTAAGGGAAGGAGTAGGAGTAGGAGTATTGCCTTTGGACTTTTAAATTTATGATAAATCTGGAATTTCAAATATTTTATTTAAAGGCCTTAAATTGCTGGGCATGGAAGTTCACTCCTGTTGTCCTGGCTCCCTGGGACGCTGAGGCAGGAGGATTACTTGCGACCAGAAGCCTAGTGGGTTGTGATCTTGCCCCTGAGCTCCAGTTTGAGTAATGAAGAGTGACCTTGTCTCTAAATAAATGAATGAATTAATAAATACCTTCAATTGCAGCAAAACTACTGATGGTCTCTAAATCTAAACTTCACAAAAAGTAACTCAGAAATTAATTTGAGTTATGGCTTCAAGTTTAAACAGATTGTCTGAAGACAAAGCATTTGTCAAGGTTATGGGATTATAGGTCTCCCGGCTTAAATCTCTCAAGAACAAAGATGGAAAAAGCCCAGGCACAGATCACTAAGTGCGGGACCACATGCTAGAACCTGTGTCCCATTCAGAGATGACACGTTGACAAGCAGGACAGTGACCTTCTCTTTTTAAACCTTCTCTTCAGGAGCAAAAGGACTTGGATGACATTCCAAATGAGAGAGGCCGTCACTGGACCTGCAGTGAGTTCTGTGCCCACAATGCAGGGTTCTTCTGCGTCCTCTCATCCCTCCCCTAAAACCAGCTCCCTCTTTCCAAATGTTTAATGTGATGCTCTAGCTCCATCCATTTTGAGCAAGTGAACCAGGCTTACTCCATTTTGTTAAGGGCTGCCAACCCCCTTTTGTAACCAAGGTAGCCCCGTGAGCAAGCAGCAACCCGGCAAAAGCAGGAGAACATTTAGCTGAGAGCTCCAGAATCCCGTGACAGCTGAAAAAAATCTGTGGACACCACAGTCCTGTCAGGAGTCTGTCTGGTCTGTCTGCGAGGAGTTTTTAGACCCCAGACCCCTCCTTATAGCTCTACCCTTGCAGATGTTAGCTTCTGTGAAAGTCTGCTTACGCTGGGGCTTCCCGTCTCCCGCTTGAAGAGCCATATAAAAACCTTGCACCCCCACTTCAGGGTGGTCAATAGACTTTGTGGCGTGAGCCTGCTCTCGAGGGACTTGCTCAATCTGAACTCAGTGTGCTGGTGTTTCTCCATAATTCCACTTGCAGCGAGTACAACATAACATGTGGTCACACTTCATGAATATTCCTACAACCTGCTCCAAGGTTGAAGAAAGGTAAGCGTCCGGCTGTGAGACTCGTTACTGCTGAGTGCACCGGGCTCATAGTGGGGCTGGACATGTGGGCCTGGACACGCGGTGACCGTAAGGCCCTGTATCCCCCACAGGATGGAGAAAGGCCTCTTTCCAAATTATTTTCTGAGGTCTTTAAAACCCTTTCATCTTCATTTCATCTTTCACAGGTTATCTTAATAGTTACTTTAACAAATGCTTAAGTATTCATTATTGACAAGGCTCACTCTCAGATTTTAAATCACAAAATTGTCCACTCTATTCAGATTAAAATAAGCTTCACTTGAAAAAAAATTAAGCATAGTTATCAAAAACATGTGAAGAACTATTTGTAAAAAGAAGCTAGATAAGTCATTGACTTTACTCGTTCCTGAGCAGCTTGCTAGAATAACAAGCTCCCCGCACCTAACCACAGTGTGGGGGGAACACCTTAAAATGCAAACGTCTGTATTAGAACTGGGATGTGCTACGTGTGTTTGCGTGAGCATCAAGAAATGGTTTCGGTGGGATTTTATATTGAATGAATTATTTTTATACAAAATTTATCAATATTTATTTTGAAAAGCTGCTGAAGATGTTTATTTTTCAAATTAATTATGTTTAACATGTATGGCATTAAATTCAATTTTACAAGACTTTTTGAGAGGGTATTTTAAATAACATGTTTATTCAAAAAACCTGGAACTGAGAATGAATTTGGAAGATATTTAACTTTTCAGTGAAATACCCAAATTGTAGATACTGCTCTAAAAACCTGTCCTGAAGTGTTTGGCATGCCATTAATGCTTTCTCTTTCATTGCAACTGGTATGGTAATAAACGTTTAAACAAAAGTGCTGAGATATGCATCACTAATTGTTCCAGAAAATGTAATTATCCTGATCTCCTGTATGTGCCAAAGTCGTAGAGAAAGCAGTGCATGTTGTGACTATATCCTCATCTTTTTATCATTATGAATCAAAAGAAAGATTATGAATCAAAATTTTGAGACGTGAAAGTTCAAATAGAATTATTATGAAGTTAAGTTACTTTGGGATTATTTTATTGATTGTATGTCATTGCCTGCTGTGGCTCCCTGTCTCCGCGTGAATAAAGGCAGCCAGGATCAGGGATTGAAGGTACACATGCCTGCAAGAGGGGGGCTTCCTATATTCCAGGGAGCGCCTCAAGCCACCTCGGCTGTGGCCTTTTACTGAAGGATTATACAACAGGTGTGGGGCCCACGCACAAGAGCTACATGCTTAATGATCACCAAGTGCTCTTTCCCCGGGCTCTGCACCACGAATGTCCAATGTATAACACCTGCTTGCTAATGAGCGACTGATCTTAACTCATTAATGCCTGCAGCTGCTTGAGGGCTTGTCTCTGGGCAGCCAAACACCTCCATGCCGGCTAGGAGATTGCTCCACTCCCAAGGCATCTCTCAAGACCCAGTGGCCACTTCTATAAGCCTGGTGCATGGTCTCCTACAATTGTATCATAATACAATGATATTATTTCAGCTAACATTTGAAAATACAAATAAGTAACCCTTGTAGTTTATGTAAATAGTTAATATAAAGGTTTCATCCATTGTTAGCCTTTGTGTCTTCAAAATTCCTACCAACAGGGTGGAGCCTGTGGCTCAGAGGAGGAGGGCACTGGCCCTATATACCAGAGGTGGTGGGACCTGGCTCTGGCCAAAAAGAAAAAAAAAAAAACTGCAAAAAAAAATCCTTACAAACATATGATTTGCATTTGGAATGGGGTTGAAAATATCTATTTATTAAAAATGTTTTATTTTTAATTACTATGCGTATATAATAGTTGTATGTATTTATAGGGTACCTGTGATGTTTTGATTCAGGCATACAATGTGAACTAGTCAAATCAGGGTAATTGAGGCATCCACCACTCGGGCCTTGAT